ATTTATAACGAGCTAGCTCGAGCTGGCTGTCGAGCTGCTTGCGAGCCATAATGAGCCAGACAATTCACAAGCCAACAACTAAAATTAGCTCGGCCCATATGGCCATAATACATCCCTCGGTGGCCTTGGCCCAAGCCAATCCTGAAACCCTAAGCATATACACCACACGTCCACACCACCAGCACCAGCCACCAGGCAGTCAACACCAGGCCACGGTCTTTTCCCTTTCCCTTCACGCCGCCGCACGCACTGGATACACGAGCCGCCGCATGCCGCCGTTCCTCACCGCGCACAGGCACGTCGCACGCAGCTCCTCTCCAGTCTCCCATCTCCGCACGCAGGACGCAGCTCGCCGGCTTGCGGGCATCTAGTTCGCCCCATCCCATTCCCATCTTGAGCTGGTCATGGAGGATGAGGAAGACTCCCCAGGGATGCTTCCTCCGGTGGCGCCCAGTCTTGAATCGAGGAGCAACAGCAAGAAGATGCCGTCTTCAACAGGCAATCGCGGTGGCCGCAGCCGAGGTCGAGGATCCGCAACCACGACTCGTACCCCCCATAGTCAGCTTCTTAATGCAATGCCCGGGGGCCGTCTTATCCACCACAGGTCGAGTTTTTAGAACTATAGAGTGCCCTGAGTCCTATCCTACCAAAGAGATGCCTAGATTCCAAGAGACACAACCAAGCCCATCAAAAAGGTATGTTTGGCATTTCCTTAGAGAAGAAATTATTTTTGCTTGGATATAGACACATACACATACACAGATCTCTCAGTCCAACCAAGATTATGGTAAAGAGAAGATATGGAAAACTTTACTAGGATATAGTACCATGGACACAGGTGTTGGAATCCAACTAAGGTTCCAGAGTCTAATATTGGCAAAAAGAATTACTCGGATGCACAACTAATCCTCAAGGAGATAGTTGCAACTAATTAGTCTAGATAATACTTATCATCAAAAGTGAGTTGCATGTACACTGCAGTAGTAAAAATGCACAGTCCACACAGAGAAGCCCACTGGAGTGTTATATTTATTCTCTCAATCCTTTGAAGAAAGCAGCAACAGATGACGAAGTCACAGAATTATAAAATAGGCAAGCCAACTCCATCCATGCATCCAAAGTTCCAAACAAAAAAACAATTATTCTCTTTCAAATGCGCTTGATCTAAATAAATATATATATCAAAGAAAAGCTTAGCTTCTTTATTTTGTTTTAAAGGCTTACTTTCATTTTAATGGGTGAAGTAGCATCGCTCCAACATTATCCAACTTTTAAACAAATAAGTAAACAAATTATGGCAGAGAAGGCTTGCTGTTCAAGTACTGAAATTCTTGACCTAGTAATTCACATTTTTTTTAAGAAAAAAGGAAATTGTTCCAGCCTCTGCAACCACACACAATTCAGAGAGAACACGTGGAAATATTTCAGGTGCAGCCCTTTTAGTACAACATCGTTGCAACCATGTTTTTAAACCCTTCTATTCAACAGATACCATCCATGTATTCGTCCTGAGTTGTACCAGAATTGTACATAAATGGTTGATCAGGTAGCGTTGGTCATATTTCTTCTACTTTGCAGCCATAAACCCTCTGGAAGCAAGAGTTAAAGGCAAATTCTAGCAATTCGCCAGTAAGGATTTGACAGCAAAGTTCCACCCTGCTACTAAAGTCCAGGCACCAGCTCATGATCATAGAAGATATAGGGCTCGTTTGGTTACGAGCCTGGGAAGATTTTGCCTGGGCAACTAGGTGCCTGGAAGCTGCCTGTGACATGTTTGGATCAGACCCTGGTGACTTGCCTGGCCCAGGCAATCCAGTCGCTCCCAGGCGATCAAAATCAAGTGCCTGGCTCAGTTGTCTGGCCTGCACATTGATTATGGTGCTAAAGCTAGTCATCTTGTTTACATTTTACTATAAAATCATAAAAGATAGTACTGCACACCTACCGCTCTTGCTGCTGTTCTACAGGCTACAGGACAAGTATAGGTGATTTCCAAATAAGTCTCTTTTTTTCTATTAAGTTGTCAGTATTCCTGAAAGACGGGCCTGGTGCAAGCGGTAGTCTTACCGCCTGTGACCGGAAGGTCCCGGGTTCGAGTCGCGGTCTCCTCGCATTGAACAAGCGAGGGTAAGGCTTGCCACTGACACCCTTCCCCAGACCCCGCACAGAGCGGGAGCTCTCTGCACTGGGTATGCCCCTTTGTCAGTATTCCTCTTTTATTTTATTTTTTATTCGTGTGAGGTTGGAGCACTGCTGCATCGAAGATGACATTAAACCAATAAGTACCCAGTTAAATATTATTATTAGAAATATTTTTCCTCACAAAGTATTTAATAATAAATTTACTAAATGTGAATAATATACTGCAACTCATTTACTTTGATAATAATGTCTTTTCTTTTATTAGATTACAAGGCACAGTAGTCTTCCAAGGCACCAACCAAACAAACATCCATCCAACTTGCCTAGCTAGGCAAAAATCATCAATTTTACAGGCAACACTTTTTGCCAGACAAATCATTCAGGGCTCTTTTTGGGGGGCAAATTTATACAGCTATTGTTACTTGCATAACACTATATTCGGTTTGACACGCACATGCTAGCCTGCTCAATAAACATATGCCCATGCATGCATTAGGAGTAATGAAATATATAATCAAATAGATATGTGCTAAAAATAATAGATAACAAAAAATGAAAAAAAAAATGTATAATGATTAAAAGAATCCAATTTCAATGCAACTGCTTGCAAATTAGTTTGAATTTACAAGTATTTCTATTTTGCTTAACTAAAAGCTATGAAAATCCTATACCTTTTACACATGACATACGCTGTGTCGTAAACTGGCTCATGAAACCATGTACACAAGCGAAATGTTCTGCTTTCTTTGCAACATCATGCAATTACAGTATTGACGGATGTGGTATTTTCCATATAAATAATTCTGCCTAAGTTCCTAAACAAGGTATCTATCTAATATTTTGCACAAAAACTATGTATGTTGCCAAAAGACCATATGGCACACATTCAGGGCCTCTATTATAGCAATCACTTCCTTAAACTTAACAATGGATAACAAATTATTCTTGGGAGATGGTATCTAGTACTGCAGACATGAAAGCATAGAATAACACAAATTTCTTTTCAACTCATAAACACTCAGAAGGTCCAATATTGTATGTATATTGATCCTTTTGAGACAATTATACGTTCTCGAAGACCATTCTAATTGAAAATTAAAATACAATTCAATGGAATTTCTTTTTGTTTTTCTTTAGATCAGTGAATCTTTTTTGAAAGGTTAAAAGGGGTGTAAACCAGTTTTTATTTTCTTCGAAACTAGTACCCTCTTCCTTTGCATGTAGAAAAGTTAAAAATAAATCAAATTACAAGAAGCTTCATAAAGCGCTTCTTTAGGAGTTAAACTTCGATTCGTCCATATTTCTAGAAAAAGTATCTCGTATTTTTCATTTCCATTCCCAAGTGAGGCACTAACAATGCACGTTTTCCTAGGTAAGGGATTGTTGTAAACTGAGATCCAGGCAATTAGTTTCTCTTAGAGTCCAAAGAGTGAATGTGTGGTGTTCTATGGGGTTTCTTCCCCCCCCCCTTTTTATTCTTCTTTATATAATGATGCACAGTTCCCCTATGTGTTCGAGAAAAAACAATGCACATTTTTATCAAATGATCAACTTATCCTATTTGTTTGACAAAACGATCCTACGAACGGTAATGGTTGAAAACAGAAGGATCACAGATCAATCAAACCGCAGTTCGTACTTGATGGCAAAAACATATGGCCATCTCCAGCTCAATATCAATCAGCTACCATAAAAGAATAATCTCATCTTCAGCAGACTAGTACCATAAAAGCCCATGTCATACTGAATATCGTTCTCGATGAGCGTTGAACATTTGCTTTCACAAGTAGCATGCATTGATGACTAAATAAGCATGATTCAGCTCCATGCCTCCATCCACAAAAGACCATAGACTAATCACAAGCTATTCTCTGAATTCCTAGCTGTTGAAGAAGCAACTGGGGAGATTGTGGAACATCTGAACATTAATTCATACACGCGAAAAAGCTACTGCTGGTTAGAAATAGAGCGTGATACGCTTCTACAGCAGGCACATATACTGTGGGTCCAAATTATTCATCTACTCCAGATCTAAAACTGCCCCCAAAACAATCCCCATTTCATTGTATTTTTCTCTCCTACCACTATTGGAGAAGAAATAATGGGTCTGATTGGTTGCCTGTACTAGGCTGAGGTTGCATAAGACCTTATGCAGCACAAGGTAAGCTGCGCCCGATAAAATTGCATTTGTTTGTTTACATTTTATTGCATATAGTCACCTTACATGTTCTATTAGAGGTCTCATGTTTCTAGTAACGGTAGAGAATCAGAAAATATTTTATTTTTGTGTGCCCATCGTGCATTGTCTAATATCAAAAATCTGGTGTACTAGCTAATGCTGCATTAGCCTGCTTTAAGCATTGTGCAAGCCTGCATAAGAGCAACTCTAACCAAGCGCTATTTTGCTTCTCCTATTCCCTCAAATGAGAGCCCCTCATCCATGTTTCAGCCCTGACTTCTCAGCGCAGTCCAATCCATCTCCTAAATCTTCCCTATACACTTTCTATTGTCATGGACCCTGCTCATCAGCCCCACTTGTCAGCTTTGTGGGAAGAGAAAAAGGAGTAGGGGGATGATGAGGGGCTCCTACATCTGGGGTGTCAAGAGAGAGGAATGAGAGCCCCTCATCCATCGGGGGCTGAATAGGAGCTTGGTTGAAGAGCTTTTTTGTGTGTTTGAACTCTCAAAATGGGATGAAGGGCTCAAGTAAGATCTTGGTTGGAGTTGCTCAAAGAGCCTCTGCAGGCAACCAAACATGGGCAGACTCCACTGCAAAAGCCTGGATATATAGGCTAATGCAGGCAACCAATCAGACCCAATAGTACCACTTTGGAAGGAAAGGGGGTGAGGTGGGTCACCTCATGCCCGTCGTGGCAGGCGAGGCTGCAGGCGGTGCAGACCCCGGCGACTCCATCAGGCACGCAGGTGAGGCAGGAGAAGACGGCCTGGCGCTTGAGGTATCCGCCGGCGTAGGTGCAGTCCTTGCCATCGTCCCCGCCCAGCACCAAATCCGCCTCCTGCAGTGTTCCGGTTCCCAAAACCCGCCTTATCAGTAAGCTGAGCGTCACGCAAAAATCCACCTCAATGAACAAATCGAATCTAGCTGTCAGAGGAGGAGGGGCAAGAGGTAACCAGCTCCACGGCCTCCATGCCCTCGATGTACTCGTCGAGGGTGAACGCGGTCTCCGCCTCGTCCGGGAAGGCGTCGCGCGCCGTGTCCGCCATGTCTTCTGCCGCCGCGGCCGGGACCGGGACCCTTGTGAGTTAGGGTTAGGGTTTGGCGAGGAGGAGGAGAAGGCGAGGGAACTGGGGCTTGCGTTGCGTGTGTGCACGCGCGATTGGATTGGATTGGATTGGATTGGGCCCGTTTAGATGTCTCTAAAACCCAAAAATTTTGCACAGTATTCGTCAAATCGAATCTTGCGGCACATGCATAGAGTATTAAATATAGACGAAAAAAAAACTAATTACACAGTTGACCGAGAAATCGTGAGACGAATCTTTTAAGCCTAAATAGTCCATAATTGAACAATTTTTATCAAATACAAACAAAAATGCTACAGTAACCAAAAGTCAAAAATTTGGAACTAAACACGCCCTGGATTGCGGAGAGGAGATGCCTTGGGAGCTGAGAATGGAGCAGCAGAACTAGAAAGGAATAATAGAGAGCCGGGATTAATGGGGGAGAGAGAAAGAGAATGGAAGCTGAGGAGGGAGGGGAGCCGGTTGAGAGAGAAAGAGGGGACTCTTTTTTTTTCCCAGATTGGAGTCCTTCTGCCTGACTGAAAAGTGGGGATGGACCGGTGAGCACCATATGGGGCCCGACGTCAGTGGTAATATTTGAGTGCACGTAGCAATGCCCGGGTGCTTTGGATGGAGACGGGAGGCGCCACTTTTGGTTTCCCGCCACGGCGATGCGACTTGCCGCGTGCCGGGGGAGGTAACCGGTCCCCACTCCCCAGGCTGCGGTCTCCACGACCAGGCCTCGCCGGCGGCGAGTGACGACGGGGAGCGCCAAGCGCAGAGCCACCGCGACGGTTTTGTGAACTCCCTCCGTCTAACCGCGTGTTTAGTTTCACCCTAACTTTTAAAAAGTTGCTACAATACCTGTCACATCGAATATTTGCGGCCCGTGCATAGAGTATTAAATGTAGACGAAAAGATAAACTAATTACACAGTTTGGTGGGAAATTACGAGACGAACGTTTTGAGACTAATTAGTCCATGTTTGAACACTATTTGCCAAATAAAAACGAACATGCTACAGTAGCCCTAAAATCCAAATTCCTACAACTACACAAGGGCTAAGAGTAGGGTCTATGCAGCCTTCTCACTGGAGCAATAGCTAGCTCTTCACGCATAATATATGATCCACTTGTCTCACAGAGTTTCTCAAGCTGGTTATAAGCTTAGAGCCCACTTCTCCCTCTCACCTCGCTTCTCTCTTCCACCTCAATATTTATCCAACTTACAGCATGTTATTATACTTGCTCTAAAGCTATTGATATCAAGCTACTTAAGTTTGACTAAATTTATAATAAACAGTATTAATATTTATGTCTCTATATAAATTTATTATAAAATATATTTTATAACTAACTTAATAGTATTTAAATTATCCCACGAATATTACTACTTTTTTATATAATTTTAGTTAAAGTTTAAACCGTTTGACTCCTCAAAATGTGATAATTGCATTCTTTTGTGGACGTAGGTGTGGGGTATTAACCCCTATACCCTTATGGCTAGGCTTGGGCCGGCTCGGATCAGAGGGTCCGGTCCGCTAAAAGACGACGCGCGGTCCGGCTAGCCTGTTCGGAGTTCCGCGCAAGGAGTTAAGACAGATTTAGCGATCAAGCAAGATCCTGATCGGTTAGAATAGCAATCCTTATCTAGCCACCTATGGCAATTGTAACTGTCTAGAATTAGTTTCCAGATCTATAGCCCTGTCCCCCGGACTATATAAGGCGGGCAGAGGATCCCTCTAAAAAACATCTCTCATTGACATACAATAATACATCAGACGCAGGACGTAGGTATTACGCCTTCTTGGCGGCCGAACCTGGATAAAACCTCGTGTCTGACCTGCGTCACCATCTTGTTTGTGACTTGCGCATCTGTCTGCCGATAATCTACTACCTTAGGCATACCTCTAGGTAGACTGCCGACAATATTTCGTCGACAGTGGCGCGCCAGGTAGGGGGTGTGCGTACTGCTCTTCAAGCGAACAAGATGGTCATCTTCCCCGGCTCCATGGCTATACCGAACGGCCTCACGTTCACCGTCGGTCAGATCACCTGGACCACCGGCTCCGACGACTTCATCGCCATGATCACGGAGGAGGCGTGGATTCAATCTACGTCGACCACTGCTTCACCTGCATCAGCTACGGCTCCGACCACGGTGGATACGGCTCCGACCATGGGGGATCTGGCTCCGACCACGGTGAATCTAGCTCTGACCACGCCCGCATCGCCTTCAGCCACACCGACAACCCGTCGTTCGCTTCCTCGCTACAAAGGGAAGCAGATCGACAACGCCGACCTGCTCGACTCCATCGATTGGGTCGGCACCAAACTTGCCGAAACCCTAGCTCTGGTAAGTTCAATTCAAAGTCAACCTAATGAGCAGGTAACCGCTACCCACAATAGATCTACCCGACCAGCTCGGGCCAGTCGTCCTGCACGACTCGGAACAGATCTCGTGATCACATCTACTCCTGAAGGGCGCTCTGTTCGTCGCCGGCCAGCCCCCGCGACGGGTCTCCGACTCTCCGAATACGAAGCCTCGATGAAGAACTACCAGGCCCAGCCCTACGGCCTGCGGAACGCTGCCTCCAACTATGCTTACAATATACAACGCTGCTCGGGTCTGCGTTCTGTACACCGTCCTCGGCCAAAGCCACGCAACTTTGTCAACATGGTCCAGACTGAGGATTGTCAAGAAGGATCGGTCCACACAGTTCAAGAGGGTGGCTCGAGCTCCTCGTCCGGCGCCGCATCCAATGCCTCTATTCGCACCGAGCTCCAGAATCACGACGATGAAGGCGTCGAATACGATCTGGATATCCTAGACCACGCCCCGAGATACCCGTGATTCCCGTCCTTCCCACCAAGGTGGGGAGGCTTGATCAACGTTGTCAGTAATGACGAACCACCGGCAGTCGACGAGACAGAGCAAGAAAGGCTGGCACGTGAAGCACGCAATATTGATCGGTTTAATCGCCGACAAATTGAAGCCGAGGCGGAAGAAGCACGACGCATAAGGGTCCAGCCACGCGACCTCAACAATGCCTTCGACAGGGTGGGGGATAAACAGGTCTTCAGGACTCCAAGCGCCAACGTGGTTATTGCTATGGCGACAATGCAACGGTTACCCAATACCCCGGAAACCCAGGCAATTCGCGACGATATACAAGCTTACCTGACGGCTGCTATGGCCCAGACCGCAGAGATCATAAATCAAGCCCGGGCTCCATCCGTCTTAGTCGAGTCAAGCCATAGCCGCCAATACTCAAGTCACTCACAGCCACCCAACCAACATGGCTCGCACAACAATGACCCATCAGACAACTGTCAAGGCGGAAACGGTGGCCATGACGGTGGTCGGGATGACAACCGCCGTCGGGAGGACGACCACCATGACGTTCGGGACGACAACAGCCGAGACAACCGCAATAATCGCCGCAAAAACCGTGGTCGCAGGGCTAATCTGGATGGCAACCGAGATCGCCGTGATGGCAATAACGATCTCCGCCATTACCTCGAAGGACGTGATCTGCGCGATCGCATCAACCAGAGAGCCAACGATCGTGCATCCCATGAAAGCTATCGCCATATGGAATATGATACTGTCCACGGGCCGCCGGGTTTGAAGCAGTTTACTCCGCACCTTCGCCAAGTCATATGGCCCAAGAACTTCAAGCTCGAAAAACTTTAGAAGTATGACGGCAAGGAGAACCCCAAATTATGGGTCATGCTCTACGAAACCACGTGCAAATTAGCCATGGCTGACGAGCACGTCATGTCTAACTACTTCCCAGTCGCTGTGGGTCATGCAGGTCACCAATGGCTAGTCAGCTTGCCGGCAAACTACTTCGACTCCTGGCAAGAACTCAAGCAAGCTTTCATCGACAACTTCATTGCCACTTGCGAGCAACCCGGCAACAAATATGATCTGCAGCGGATTTGAGATCGGAAAGATGAGCCACTGCGCGAGTACGTCCGGCATTTCTCGGAGATGCGCATCAAGGTCCCGTCAATCTCCGACAGCGAGGCAATCGAGGCTTTCATCACTGGCCTCCACTTCCACGACGCTCTAAGGGACAAGCTCCTTCGCAAGAGACCTGAATCGGTCACAGCGCTCCTGGCCACCGCTAAGAAATATGCGGACGCCGACGACGCTAAAAAGATAATTATCGAAGAAACAACAAGGGTCCCGCGCTCCGACCACCCCCACACCGAGATGATTACCACGGCAACCGTGGTTGGAACGATAATTTTGACCGCCGCAACCAGCGCAACGACTCCCATGACCACCGCGACCAACGTAATCAGCGGCGTAACTGCCGTGACGATTACAGGGGCAAGCATGCTCGGGAAGACGACGACGAGGTCAACACTGTCAAAAAAGGTCGCGAACGTCGTAACTATGAAGAAGACTATGCCAAAGCATTAAAAGGGCCCTGCCAGCTCCATCCCAAGTCAAACCATACCATGGAGAACTGTCGCGTTCTCAAGTCTATCTATGCGCGTCAACAGGCTCTGGATACGTTCGACAAGCCTAACGACGCAGGGGAACAGCGCGACGAGGACAACGATGATGAAGATGCAGATCCCCGCCACAAGTATGTCAAGCCAACCGATCGCATGCACACCATCATTGGAGGTAAAGTGTCCATCGAGACTAAACGAGAACGCAAGCTGCTCGCCCGTGCCTGCTTAAACATGGCCTACGCCGACAACCTCATCACCGATCCACGGCTCCCTCCTTGGTCTCACCGTGAGATCTCCTTCAGCAGAAAGGACCAATGGGCCACAATACCTGAGCCAGGACGTTTTCCTCTGGTCCTCGATCCTTGTATCAACAAGGTTCAGTTTGATAGGGTGCTGATTGACGACGGCAGCTCCATCGATATACTATTCAAGAATAGTCTGCCAGCACTGAAGATAACCTAGGCGGATCTCAAGCCATACGAGGCACGATTAAGGGTGTTCTCCCTGGAT